GAATTCTGCTTTACTGGCTTACTCTCCATGGCTTGCTCAGCTTGATTTCTAGTACTACCTGTTTAGGGGATGTACTACTTCCAGTCAGCTAGCTCCTCCCACATCAATCAAGAAAATGCCCAAAGACATGTCTACAGGGCAGTTTGGTAGAACTGTCCCTTACTTGATGTTCTCTTCTCAGAAAGTATCCAGTTGACAAAATTTCACCAGTACAAGCAGTAACAGTATTTCCCTTTTTCAAGATAATGTTGCCCTCTCTAAAGGTGGAACCATTGATAGTAATTGCTATCTGTGTGCTTACTGTTGCTGAAAGACGTATGTACAATCAATAGTTCCATCCAGTGTGGTATGTTTACAACTAAGATTCTGGAGCCTTTTCTCAAATTAAAAGTCAATCTGTTCTTACATTAAAAAATGAAAGTAAAAAGATTGGTCCAAGTCACTAAATCCAGAAGTATTTATTTCCACTGCATAATTAGAATGTTTTTTTTTAAATATTTAAAATTTCTTGTTTAGTTTTGATAGTAAAGTTTTATTTTAGAATAAGGGGGGATGTGACCCAAAATACCTTTTAGTTCTCTGTGTACTGTCTTATAATAATATAAGCATAGTCATACGGACAAGTTTCTACATTCTAATGATTTTCAAATTAAGGAATGGCTTCAAATGAGGAAAGCTTTTTTTTTCACCTAGCTTTGGAATAGCATGTTGTACTCTAATTACTAACTTAGACTACATTATTTTTTAAAGATCAAATGGGCACAGTGGTAATTTTCATTAATCTCATACAGAGCAGCTAATTAAAATTTCAATTATTATCCATCCATTATCTAGTTGTTGCCTTTGTTCAGTATCAGAACAGGATGTTAATAATAAGCCATTCTTGTATTACAGCCCTATTAAGTATAGTGAGATTTAGTTTAATCTATTGCAGTGTTTTGTTTCAGGGTTATTTCTTTAATATTATGTTGTGCCATATTGATTATGCTGAAGATAATCGAACACTTTGACATTTTTAAATAGAAATTTCAGACTTAAATACCTGTTGCTTCAAGATTGGGAAAAATGGCATAGAAAGGATAAATGAATTATGGAAAGTTCAAATATTTATACTTTAGTCCTGAGACCTCACTAATTATGCTTAGTAATTAGCTATTCCTTGGATTCTACTTTTTTTTTTTAATTGTGTAGTTTTGCTGTCCTAGAACTCACTATGTTAACCAGTCTGGCCTTGAATTCAAGATATTCATCTGTCATTGCTTCACAATGCTCTTCTGGGTTTTTTATTTCTGTAATGATAATGTTAAAAGAGCTGATTTTCAAAAACCTTTCTAACTTTAACAAGCTATCATGTTTTTGTAATGTGCAAACATGAACTTATGTTAAAACTCCAAAGTACTTTTAATTGTGAAAAACTTTATTCTATAAATGTTGTTTTCTCTTATGCATTAAGTTATTTCCATTCCTTGTAACGACTAAGTATGCAAATGACATCACTTAAATTTCTTTCTAAAGTTGAGCATGGTGGCTTCATGTCTACAATTATAACTACTTGGAAGCCTGCCATGGAAGGATTGTCAGAAGTTCAGGGCCAGCCTTGGCTACATAGTGATTTCAAGGAAGTACTATGCTACAAAGTAAGCCCTGCTCTAAAACACAAAACAAAACAAAATGAAATGAAACGAAATGAAAAGAAAGAAAAAAAAAACAAGGAAAAGACAACAAAAACTGAGAAAGTATTTTAAAAATGTTGGTTTAGCCGGGTGTTGGTGGCGCACGCCTTTAATCCCAGCACTCGGGAGGCAGAGCCAGGCGGATCTCTGTGAGTTCGAGGCCAGCCTGGGCTACCAAGTGAGCTCCAGGAAAGGCGCAAAGCTACGCAGAGAAACCCTGTCTCGAAAAACCAAAAAAAAAAAAAAAAATGTTGGTTTGTAGATGTGCAGAAGGGTGACTTCCTCCATGATGTGCTGGTTTAAGTGTTCATAAACAGCATGTCAGCCATGACCACATGTGTCCATTAATATAATCCTATTAAATTTCAGTTAGCAAGTGGAGTGAACATTTTCTGCGTCTATGATAGGATACATATAAAGACATCTTTTGAACATCTTTATATGCACTATCTTTGAGATATTTTCTACCCCTATGCATGAGCAAAATGTTTATAAAGACTAGTACATATTCCCACCCAAAGGATGCTACAAGATAAATCAGGGCATGGTTCAAACTAGATAGTAAATTCCGAGTTTCCTTGGAATGCTACTTATTGTGAACTCAGTCTCTCTGACCATCTTGTGCCTGAAACTTTTACAAGCTATCACATTCTGAAACAAGTCTGTATTAGACTTTGGGCCACTCTGACAAATTTATGAGTGAAAAGGTTAAAGAGGGAAGTCTTATATCAGCACACAACTTCAGAGTTTTTGGAAGTGCTTACTGGGGTTGTGACTGTGAAAGGCATTTGTGTCTGAGGGAAGGAAGAATCTGTACATCTAGGAGCACATGTCAGAACATGAATGTTTCCACCATGGGCAGCAGGAAACAAAGAAAAATGGTACTTTTTAAAGTCACCTCCAGTGACCACTTTCTCAAATTAGGCCTCTCCTTTCATAATAGTCTATTTAAAATTTGAATCTATTAATAGAGTATACTGTTGATCATGTCAGATCCATCATGACTGGACTGGTCACTGTAACAAACATAGCCAAGAGTGTTGCTTGCTAATCTCCTAAGTGTCACCACTGTAACAATGAATATTAACTGGTCTTAGAAGCTTAGCATAATCAAATGTGTCTGTCTTCCATTCATTTTCTTATTACTAATCCATCCTTCAAGAATATATGTCCATGGCTTACTCTATGCTCAAGTTACTTCATACATGGGGATACAGTGGTGATCAGTGCAGGGTATATTTTTCCTTGGTACAGCTTTTGTAATAGTGGGGGAGGCAGTTGATCATGATGTACTTATATAAAGCAAGTAGTTTACATATTATGAAGATACCTTGAACACAGAAGGGACAATACTGTAATGCTGAGACTTCCATGATGGCGCCAGTATTGAGGACTTGGACTAGATCTTCCAGACAGAGAAAATGACAGAATACAAATGAACTCTACATAAAAACTTCCCAAATGGATCAGTGTGACCTATTACCTAAAAAGTAAATTTGAGGATTCCATAAAAGTAATTTCTGACTATAAACTTGCCAAGATTAGTGCTTTTGTATTACTAGTTTTCAGAGTAATACATGTGGCATATTATTCTATCCATTGTTAATGAAGGATTTTGCAGTGTCATAGAAAGTAAACTGATAGCAAAAATAGAAGTGTAATGTAAGAATTATGCTATACATACTTGGTGTTGTTGTTTTCTTAACTATACATTGCATGTGGTAATTCTGAAGTAAACTTCTTGGACTTTGCAACAAAACAAATCAACATAAAATGTGCATCTGTTTGTTGTTTTGGAATTATTATGAATAAATTAAAAATAGTACTTGGTTTTTGAGTTTGTTTCAATTCAGAAACTGTGTTACTATGGTGTTCCCAATAGAAAAAAAAAATACACAAAAGATAACTTTTGTCACAATATTTTAAGTGCACTAATACTGATATTGCCATAATACAGTTAGGAAATAAAATTCCCAACATGTTGGAAGATATTTTTAGGCCTCTAATATATTTTGGATTTCAAATTCAGAATAATTGGTAAATTTTTACATTAAGGAGGCATTATCAATGAAAAGCCAAATAATATGAAATTCTAGGCAATCCATTTTTCATTATTGAAAAAAAAAATTCCACCTCCTCTAATGATAGCAGTTCTTCAATATGGGCAAACTTGCTTGGTTTCTTAGCAAACAGTCAGTATAACTTGCATGAATTTAGACAATGAAAATAAAGCTAGAATTTTAGTACAATTTTTTCTTTCTTTCTTTCTTTTTTTTTTCTAGACAGGGTTTCTCTCTGTAGCTTTGCACCTTTCCTGGAACTCACTCTGTAGACCAGGCTGGCCTCGAACCTACAGAGAATTTTATCATGTTATAGGAATGGTGCAGTTAAAATAAATTATATCACAGGGCGTTGGTGGCACATACCTTTAATCCCAGCACTCAGGAAGCAGAAGCAGGTGGATCTCTGAGTTTGAGGGCAGCCTGGTCGATAGAGCAAGTTCCAGGACAGCCTGGGCTACACAGAGAAACCCTATCTCGAAAAACTAAAAACAAAAAATAAACAAAAAGATGACTTTATCTGGAAGACCAAAGTATAAGTAATTAGTATGTTGAACATGTTGATATTTTCCTTTCATTCAGCCTTTTCCTTGAACTATTTACATGGTTGCAGCAAGGTGATAAAGCAGAGGAACTGTGATGAGATAATGTCTTTTAGAAATAACCACATATACACTGAAAATTAAAGACAAGTTGCTATCTGATAAGTATATTTAATGACTTTTAAAGATTGATCTACAACATGGTAGTAACAGGTTACTATTTGGGAATTAAATGCCTTTGATTGATTCAATTAATTAACATGCTAATGGGAGACAGTATTGTTTTATACTTTAATAACTTTACTTGATTTTGAAATAGAGTGATATACAGATATCTTTCAATAGAGTTAGACTATGTATAATATTTTATATTAAATTTTCTTTTCTGTAGTTCATACAACTGTTTTTGTTTTTTAAATTGGCATTCAAGGCATTAGATCTCAATATTGTTTAGGCAAGACTATTAAAACACACTTTGTATGAAAATGTCATAATGTTATTTATATAGTCTATGTTTTATTTTATTTTATTTTATAATATAATTTAGTTCTACATATCGGGTACGGATTCCCTTGTTCTCCCCCATCCCGACCCCCTCCCCTTCCCCCCAGCCCACCCCCCATTTCCACCTCCCCCAGGGCAAAGCCTCCCCTGAGGATTGAGCAAGATTAAAAAAAAAAAACCTTGATACCTGTTTAAAGTGGCATCTTTTGTTTGTTTTATAGGGTGGCCTAAAAAACAGCAAGCACGAATGCACCCTGTCTTCACAAGAATATGTTCATGAATTGCGATCGGGTATTTCAGATGAGAAACTTCTCAACTGTCTGGAATCTCTGAGGGTTTCCTTAACCAGCAATCCTGTGAGGTAGGCAGTTCTTATCATTTTGATAGGATTCATACATTTTGTATTGTATATAGATATTTGGTATAATCAGATATGTTACTTTAACTTCAAGATTTTTCTGTTCAGAAGTATATTGTCATCTATTATAAGAACAATATCTGATTGTCAGGTTCTAAATGTTTAAAAACATATGCTAAGCTAATTTGATATTTAATAATGTATGATTTAAAAATATAGATAATTGTTGAATATTTATCTCCTTTTTGAGAAGGACTTACATCCAGAAGTTAAATATTGACATTTGCATGTTAATCTATTTTTATACCCAGATAATTATCATTATTTATCTACAAAACACATTAATTATATTAATTTTATTCCTTTTATACTTGTGATTATATATAAATATGCATATAATTTCATATTTTATTTAAGGTTCACATGGACTACCCACACATTTTTGTAACTCTAAGATAGCCAAAACTATTTTTACCAATAAAGAAATGGAAAGTGTTAATAAACTCCTATTTTATTCATTCATTTAACTAACTATCTTCTGATATTTATTAAGAGGCAGGTCCTTGATAGCAAAGAATTTGAATAATAATTCTTTATTGGTAGTAACAAGCCTTAAAATTAGTAATACTCCAAATAATACTCCATGAAGAAAAATATATTTAAATGTAATATGGTATTATTCTGGGATCTACATACTAAATTATCACCATCTTAAGTTCAGAATTTACTAAAATAGAGTATATAAATAAACTGTATAATTTTATTTGTGTTTCCCCTATATTTATCAGACTCATATCTAGTTCATAAAGCACTGAAAATAATTTACATCTCAGTCACTCAACTGAAATTAGGTATAAATTCCAATATATTGTTTATTTATAGTCATACTATACTTGACAGAATTTAAACGTTATTGTTTCATAATAAGGACAGTAGTAAGATGTGGCTTGCTCTGGGTTATGGGAATCTTGAAATGGTTGCTGTCTTGCCATTTCTAAAATGGTATGCTTTTACATTTCAGTAGTCTCATTAAAATGTTTGAGATTTTTTTTATTTTATACCATCTTTCTTTTAGGCCAGACTAGCCTGGAACTCACAACATCACTCAGGCTGTCCTTGAATGTGTGGTAATCCTCCTGCCATGGCCTCCTCAGTGCTAAGCCACCATACCTAGCATGGATATGACTTACCTGAGAATATAAACCACAATGTACTCCCAGTATCATTATCAGCTACAGTGCCCTTCCACGTAGTAGCCCACAAAAGCTTCATAGTGAGATCTGAGCTTGCTTTACACAGCAAAATTGTATTAGGGGATTCCTTGACCACATGCATGGTTACCAGGTGTCTGGGATGGTCTGCACTTGGCTGCACTGGAGGGAGATCTTTTGCTCCATCCCTTGGAATTCCTTTAAAAGCCCTTTAGTATAGAAAGAAGGAGCTGGTGGATTTTGATCCAGGTCCTCCCGAGGCTATCCTGTGTTTCTGTATTTCTTCTCATTGTCTAGGTATCTCTTTCTATCTAAATATTCCCCACTTCTCCCTGATCATGGGTATCCTGGTTGTAAAAGTGAGGGCTGGTCCCCTACACTTCCATTTTAAACACTTATAGTCACAAACATTTTCCACTGAACAGTTTGATGGAAGAAAGGAATATAAACTAGTTATGGTGACACATGCCTGTGTTTTCAGCCATGGTTGGTTGAGTCTGTGGAGATTGCCTCAAGTTCCAAGTCAGCCTGGATATGAAACTCATTAAACTAAGGCACTAAAACAACAACAACAGTAACAAACACCTAAAATTTATGGAAGCCCTGACATTCAGGACTGGAGCTATGGCTCACTGGTTAACAGTGCTTGCTGCTCTTCCTAAGGACAGTGGTTCAGTTCCTAGCACCTATGCTCTATGGCTCATAACCGCCAGTAACGCCTATCTTCGAGGGATCTGACACCCAGTTTTGGCCTCTGTGATCATGGGCACACATCTACACAGACATACATAGAAAAACATAAAAATACAACAGGACACCTCCCCACAAATTGTGGCGTTCAATAATGGAGAGACCTGTACATATTTTCCCTAGTCCAAATGCGTCTTTATAAAGATACTAGTCAGTGCTTGATACTACATACTGTTTTTGTTTGTAAAGAATATTGTTCTCTTTTTAAAAATTTTTTGAGCCCAAGTCTCCTTGTGTAGCTTATCCCAGCCTAACCAGGAACTGTATAAACCAGGTGGGCTTCAAGCTCTTGGAGATCCTCCGATCTTAAATCTCGCCAGGGTATGAGTTACAGTTGCTGGGCAGTTGACACACTTCCCATGTTTAAAATTCTGCATAGCAACAAAAAGCACGCTAAAGAGGACTTTGTAATCTCGTGGGAATCTGGGAACAAGTGCATTCAGTTGCTGGGCAGTTGGCATACTTCCCATATTTAAAATTCTGCATAGCAACAAAAAGCACTCGAAAGAGGGCTTTGTAATCTCGCGAGAATCTGGGAGCTTGGGCAGCAACTGCCTCTTTTGATAGCTGATTGGCTGCTTAGTAAGTGTGAGGTTGGTTGTGACGTTGGCTGTGAGGCGTGGCATTGGGCACTGGCATTCTGCCATAGCTCCAGAGGCAGTTGGAGGTACCGTCTTTCCCAGAGTCCAGAGACTGCCAGCGAGCTTCTGTCTAGAAGTCACCTCGCGAGTCCCATCAAACCTCACCTAGTCCTCAAAAGATGATGAGTAAGGGTGGGGTTGGGAGCAATGACAGCTCTTCTGGTGGTGATGGGGCTAGTGGAGCGAGTGGCAGCCATGAGGAAACCAGAGGTCAGGACTTGGGGCTTCCCTTGACCATGATGAGCAGGCCTGGGATTCACAGCATTGTGCCTTGCTTCATAAGTCAGTTGCTCACTGCCATTGAGGTTGATAATGTATTTAAGGTCAGGGGGTTTACACTTCACCGGGTCTCCATCGTGGGGATGATTATGGAAGCCAAGAAAGCTTCGCAGTACATCATGTACAAGATCGATGATATGACCGCAAAGGGCATTGAGGGCAGGCAGCCCCTGTCTCGAGAGAGAGCCAGGCAACCTGTGATTCCACTGCCAGTTGGAGTGTATGCCAAAGTGCTTGGTGTCCTCCAGTCCTCGGATGGAACCACACTGCTTGGGATCCTGAGCATCCGCATTCTAGAAGATATGAATGAGCTCTTCACACACGCCCTGGAGGTCGTCAAAGTCCACATGATGCTGGATCAAAGCCATGAAGGCGTGACCCCAGGAAGGCAGCTCTTGACCCAGGCCCGAGCCCCAGAGTCAGTTGCCCGAGTTTCTAAGTATTCTGATCTTAATTTCATCCATAAGGAGGTGCTGTTTCTGATTCAAGAGTGTTCTCACCAGGAAGGGAAGGCTGTCACTGAGCTGCGAAGGGAGCTCCTTGGAGTTACTGAGGAAGCCATCACTGAAGCCATCGAGTATCTGATTGTGACAGGATACATCTCACCCACCATGGATCGCCAACACCTTAAAATTGTTGGCTGAGACAAAGAACTGAGTGAAGTTTCTGAAGATGTTTTTGTTTTGCTGTTTTGACTTAACAACCAAAAAAAACAAAATCAAAACTGAGCAAAATTCTCAGCTGGCATCTGTTAACGTGCTATTTCTAGCTCTGTTAAACTTGTTCTGAAGGTATTTGAAGAGTGTTGGACCCAAAGACTGGACTTTAGTACAGTTTCTTTCCAAAATAGTAGAAATACCGTAGGAAAGATTTGTAGAAGAAAAAAAAAATTGTGTCCAAATTAGAATTATTTTTCCTGTTTCAATTAATCTCTGTCATGTTAACTTTCCCTAAATATGATACAAGAAATACTGCTTTACTGAAAATAAGTTATGATTTCAAATATTCAGATCAAATTTTTGTGTAATTTTGTTTAACATTGATTTATTTACTTAAAAATAAGATTTTACTACATATTTAAGCAATTCACTCATTTTGAGTCATCTTCAAACATTTTCTTTTTTTTTTTTGGTTTTTTTTTTATTATTATTATTATTATTATTATTATTTTACAACACCATTCAGTTCAACATAATAGCCACAGAATCCCCTGTTCTCCCCCTCTCGCCCACCCCTCCCCCCAGCCCACCCCCCATTCCCACCTCCTCCAGATCAAGGTCTCCCCCGAGGACCGGGGTTGACCTGGTAGACTCAGTCCAGGCAGGTCCATTCCCCCCTCCCAGACCGAGCCAAGTGTCCCTGCATAAGTCCCAGGATTCAAACAAACATTTTCTTTAAACATGTAAAAGTTTATTGGTTTTGCTTTTTCCATTAAATTACAGTGGATGCCAGACTGTGTTTGTCATGCTAGTGTATGATCAACACTATTAGATGTTCTACTTGATGCAAAACATGTTGTTTTGCTTAGAGTTAAACAACCAGTTATAGAAACACAAGACCTAGTGACTTGACCAGAAATTAACTAAATTGTCCCATTCAAGTTTTGCAAAAAAATTTCAAGTTTCCTGTGTGGTTCCCCGCGCCCCCTCACCGAGTTTATTAGAAAATAGTTTAATGTTCTTAAGAGTTATCAGCATTTATTATGAAGTATAAATTTTTGTTTTATTTTAGTACCAAACATCATCTTAGTAGTAGTAATTCATTTTAGTGTAGGTTATATTAAATGTGAGAGGCTTTTAAGTCCTTGATCATTAAGACCTCTATTACACACACAATAAAAATGGTGTATTTCAAATTACTTGTTTGATTGTGTGTGTTTAATTATATTCAGATAGGTAGAAAAGAACATTGATTGTATTCAGTCATCAAAAGTAGACATATACCCTATAAAATCCTTTAGCTATTTAGCAGTCAGTAATCTGTGTTCAGGAAAAAAATCAGAAAGTTGTGGTCTTTCATGATCAGTCCTTAAACTAATTACTGAAAAGTCTTGCATAAGGTCTTGTGAGTCAATGTTTCCTCCCCTCAAAATGCTATTTAACAATTTTAATTTAATTTTTTTTTTTTACTTTTTAAAAGAATGTTTATTTTATGCACATGAGTGTTTTACATGAATGTATGTATGTACACCTTGTGCATGCCTGGTACCCTTGGAGATCAGTAGAGGGCATCATATTTCTGGCTGGAGTGACAGATGTTTGTGAACCACCATGTGGGTGCTGGAAACTGAACTTGGACTCTCCGTAAGAACAGTGTTCTTAACTGTGGAATTGTCTTTCCAGCTCCTATAAATGGTATTTAAAAAATAATATTGAACTGTTTAAATCCCCCAATAGTGAATAATGCTGCTGATATAATCAGTCAGATCAGGCCAAGTTAATAAGTCCAGGTTTAATCTGAGCAAAACATTCCCTAGCTGTCCCAGGAAGGAGGAGAAGCCACATGGGGGAACTGCAAGGGGAAGTCTGTGGGCCTGATCTTAAGTACACTCTAGGAGGGGTGGAGCTACTGCTTGGTGGGCTTTCAGGGTCTTGTAGTTGGAGTTTTTACTAGTCTGGCTGGGTCCCGCAGCCACTCAGACCCAAGTAAACACACAGAGACTTATATTACTTATAAACTGTATGGCTGTGGCAGGCTTCTTGCTATCCAGTTCTTGTATCTTAAATTTATCCATTTCTATTAACCTATAAGTTGCCACATGGCTTGTGGCTTACCAGTACTTTACATCTTACTTCTCATGACTGTGGCAGCTGGCAGCATCTCCTGACTCAGCCTTCCACTTCCTGGCATTCTCCTCTATGCTTATCCTACCTATACTATACTTCCTTCCTGGCTACTGGCCAATCAGCATTTTATTTATCAATCAATCAGAGCAACATATTCATATCATACAGAAAGATATCCCCAGCATGGTCTGGAGTGGGCAGCTCTAGGGAAGATTCCCAACATCCCAACCTTTTTGGGTATATATGGACGCAGGTTCAAGTCTGGGTCCTTCCAGTTGGCAAGGGATGACATGGGGAAGGGGAAGTCGGGAGTCTCTGGTGGTATTGTGTTCCCCAAAATATTGTGTACTCTAATAAATTTATCTGGGGTCAGAGAACAGACAGCCACTAGATACAAAGGCTAGAAAATGGTGGCACTCACACCTTTAATCCTAGCATTCCAGAGATAGAAATCCCTCTGGATCTCTGTGAGTTCAAGGCCACATTGGAAATAGCCAAGCATGGTGACACACGCCTTTAATCCCAGAAAGCCAGCCTTTAATCCCAGGGAGTGGTGGTAGAAAGCAGAAAGATATATAAGGCGTGAGGACCAGAAACTAGAGGCATTTGGCTGGTTAAGTTTTTGGTTGGTTAAGCATTCAGGCTTTTGAGCAGTAATTCAGCTGAGACCCATTCCGGATGAGGACTCAGAGGCCTCCAGTCTGAGGAGACAAGACCAGCTGAGGATCCGGTGAGGTGAGATAGCTGTGGCTTGTTCTGTTTCTCTGATCTACCAGCATGGACCCCAATAACTCGCCTCAGGTTTGATTTTATTAATAAGAACTTTTAAGATTCCTGCTACAGGAGTCAGTGGGGTCATGCACAGTGGGAGGTGTGGATGAAGAAGCATTTGATTAGCAGCCATCCTGGAGACCTCAGAAACTTGTTTCTTGAGGAGGCAGAGAAGGGAAGTTGCTAGGAGAATGTAATGCTCATAAACCTGACTATGTGTGTGTAGGGGGGTGGGGCTCACACTTACAGTGTGAGGCAGACCCTATTTGGATAAATTTCGTAGAAATTGGGGATCTGACTTAACCCACAAGCAACCATCACAAGTCTCTGCTGGGACCTGAAGTCTAAGGGATATGACCATTACATTAGGCTTTTGAGTCTTGCAGAGGAAGATCCAAGACCTGGATTACCAGCATCCTAGGCATCCAGGGAGGATCAAATAGAATGGGAACAGGTCAGGGTGCCCCACGTGTGGTCTCATCTTGGCAAAGGTACTCCAAAATCAGGGGTAGGGAGTGTCCTGGACTCCTAAAGGCAGTGATTTTGGAAGGGGAACTTACCGGGCCTAGAGCCAATCTAGTCCAGCAGAGAATATGTGTACATAGTGGAATGGTTTTCCCAAGTGGCCAGCTCATCTCCACCTGGCCAACACACCAGCTAAAAATTTAACCCCCCCCCAGTAAAGCCGCTGATGTAATAAGTCAGTTCATGCCAAATTATTAATTCTAATTTTATTTTGAGCAAAACATTCCCGGTAGTCCCAGGAAGGAAGAGAAGCCACAAGGGGGAACCACAAGGGAAAGTCTGTAGACCAGACTTTTAAGTACCCTCCCTGGGTGGAGCATGTGCTTGGTGGGCTTTCTCAGAGGTGGGGTCTGGAGAATGCAGCTCCAGGGAAGATCCCCAACAAATATTTTTGTTCTTTGATAAATCTATCTAATGTATTTTAATCATACTCAAAGGGACCTCAAAATTGTCACAAGATACCCCAAGATCAAGTTGTCAGCACAAAAAGAGATTTATGTTCCTCAGGAGGATAAAAGGGCAGGGAATAATAAAGACAGGAGATACAGTACAAGGGAGAAGTCAAAAGGAACAAGGGAAGAGGAAGGAATATTTTCCACAGAGGGACAAAGAACTGCCCCCTGGATAAAGAGGAGGCAGACATGGCCCATAGGCAAATGGCAGTTTTTAAAGGGAAAAGAGGAAACTATGTGTTAGGATGAATTGATTAATTTTGATTGGGCATGTTAATTGGGAGAGACAAGGTGGTGCTTTTGATTGCTGAACTTCAATACTTTGTTAGCTGGACCTTGATAATCAGCCTTAGGAGGAGAAAGTGCTCAAATAAGAGAAGGGACCTTGCTAGCTGGCTAGCTTTAGGAATATAAACTAATGGTTTAGCAAGGTAGAGGGAATTCAGAGAAAAGTAAATGACAAAACCTGTAGGTGACATTTTGCCATGCTTGTGCCAGCTAGAGCCCTTCCATATTCCTCTCCCATCTGTTTGTAGATACCCCTGAAAAAAAAAAAAGAAATATAAACGAAAGGACATGACTGTTCCTAGGTATGGTGGAGGAGAATGTTTATTGTAGACACAGAGGAGAAGGGAAGTCAGAGGCAGGGATATCTGGGAAAGTCCAGAATGGACAGGACCAGACTGGACTGGGCTACTTGGGGAGAGGGGGAGGGCCAGGCAGAGAGGAGAGAGAGGAACCAGGAGCAGCAGCCAGAAGGCCAAAAGTACAAAAGGGGCTGGTGAGCACAATGTCTTGATTATATAGGGAAGATCTTCTGGGGGGAAGGACAGTCCAGTCCCTGGGCTCTAAAGTTGAGGGTAGGGGCCGGGTATGCCAGCCATACCCTGTAACAGATAGGAACAGAGGGATGCTGGTAGAATATGAACCTCGTGGCCAGGCTACTTTGTACCTCAGCTATTTGTTCTGGGTCTGAAACTTAACAACCCACACCAATATACTAATGGTTAGCAGAGTAAATCTATTATTTAGCAGACAATTTTTAAATAATTCAGTTATTTTAGTTAAAGAAAAAAAATCAACAGAATTTTCCAAGGGTGACAAAGCTAACTGAAGATCAGAAGGACTCTCATAAGCTCTTGCTCCAACACCTGGAAATGAGAACTGAGCCTTCCCAGGAACTGATTGGAACAGTAGAGGGACTTCTGTTGTGGAATGGGTACAGCTGCCTGCTTACCCTTGATCACTCGTGCTGCATAGTTTTGTAGGTAACTTCCATATTCCACCTGACATGATTGGCACTATAATTCCTGGGAGTGGGGTCATTACATTAGGGAATGATACAGGAAGCTAAGAGTGTCTTACTCATTGTAATTAAGAATCAGGTTCAGGTTCAAATGAGGAAACAGCC